CCCCAAAACCCCAAAACCCCAAAACCCCAAAACCCCACATTGTAAAAATTAATTGAAATAGTTTACTAAAAATGGATAAGCATTGAGAAGCAAATTCGAGCAGTGAATTTTTATCTATAGGAGTAGATGAAGATTTACTGAAAGATTATGTGCAAGGGTTTATCGACCATCAAAGTACCTATTTTCCATATTCTACCTCTTTTTCAATCCAAATTTTCTTTTGTGATACAACTGTTTTTAACGAAATTTGATAAAGTAATATTTAATCAAAATAGTTGGTCAATCAAATTTTTGTTTCAAAATGAAGAGAGCATATTTCGACTTCTAATATTTGATAGTTAGTCATGAAATAAACTCCCCAATCTGTTGGTTTAGCTACCCTAAGTTTGTATAGATGAAGGAACTTGGAACAAACATCGCCTGATGGACTCAAGTTACACCCTAAAGAAGAATAAGTCTAAAAGACTAATGACTGATGGTAATCAGCAAGAGACGCAAGCCCTAGAATCAGATTTCTAAGAACTTCTTTACACCAAACATCGATAGTAAGGGTTGATCATAACCGATTTGACTAAATTTGATAGATTTCAAGATGCAAAAGGCTGAATGTCCTTTGGAAGATGATTCCATCGACGACCTAAGTGCATTCTCTTTTCATGTATCTCCCTTCGTAACCTATAGGATCACACATTGAGCACTAATGTGCACATAAATGATTCAAAATAAATCTTCGAAATTGGAGCATCATGAATCAAACATTTTTGTCAAGGTCAGATTAAGTATTGAGGTGGAAGCCCAAGATGAAGTCAACTTCCCAACTATGAACTCAGAACGTGCAGGTCGCCAAAGGTAAGTGTAAATACTTCCAAAAAGACAATAATGAAGAGAGTTAGCTGATTATTGCATGTTTTATGATTTTTAATCTATCGGCATTGAAATCAGGATAAATTATATCTTCTCATCTGTTTACAATCAGAAACTCATCTTTAGCTTATTTAGAACTCAAAGCCACTTCCAGCAAATAAACAGTTATCGTAAGGCCATCGGTGAAAGCATTTAGTCAATCTGAATCAAGAGTTAAAGAAAAAGAAATATGATAATGGTAAAATTTGGTGATTATGTTTAGTCCTCAATCAAATGAATGATTTGTTCAGAAGAAGTACAACATACTTCTGATTTATAGGAGGAATTCTGAAAAACTGCAGCAGCATGGAAAATGCTATCAAGCCGATGTACTCTATTTTCCAAATTTTTTAAATATTTTCTTTAGAATTAAAATCCAGCACCCCAACGAATCTTTGACTTCAGTCAGGAAGAGCATTAATCAAATGAAGAAGGGAGAACAAAGCTCTAAAGAAAATGTGTTTACTCTCAAGAGAAGAACTTTGAAGCCATCTGATCTCTCTGTTCTTGAAAAAGAAGAAAACCCATTCTTGTCCAAGAACACTAAGTTTAAATAAAAAGCAGAAATTCAAAAAGATGATCAAGAAATCTCAAAGAAATCGATCCAGAGTTTCAGAAATTAGTGTGTCAAGTGAATTTTCAGCATTGAAATTTCTCAGAAATGAGTCAATGATCTTGAAAAAGAAAGCAAAGAAATTAGTCCAAAATAGGTCGAGGAGTAACAGTAAGTTTAGACCGTTGAAAATTATGCCTTTTAAATGAAACGATCATCTAGGTAAATACCACAAGAAGGTAAAGATACATAACTACCAGGCTTCTTGTTTCAGATTGAACAGCACCAGGTACTACCCAATCCCCTCACATTTAGTCAAATATAGCTTGTAGATGAGTTTCATTGGATCTTAGGCTACCAAAAACCCGCCAAAAATCCTCCTTCATAAATCCAAATACTGGAACAATACTTCAATAGAGATTTACCAGCATGGGGTTTTGGGGTTTTGGGGTTTTGGGGTTTTGTGG